CATGCGCGTCACCTTTCTTGGCTGGCATGGTACCTGGTACACTACAGAGGCTGATTTCCAAAGGCTGTGAATAGACCACTTCGTGGTTGCAAGCAAGCACAAAAAGCTCCCAGCAATGACAAGCCTACAACAATCACTTGCACTTTCATGAGTACGATTGAATCCGGTCCTAAACAAAACCACTGTTCAGGGTGCTTAACAAACCGGCATTATTCAACAGCTTGGTGGTGCCAGTGCCATCCTGAAACTAGATGTTTCCCGGTTTGCCTGGCATCTGCCTCTAGTTCCAAACTCGTTTCTTAAAACCCAGGAACTGACCTCCTTTGCTAGTTTCTTGTTTTTCAATGTTCTTCGATTCAAGAAAGCGTCCATTTCTTTTTCTTTGTTCTTAGATTGGAGGCCATCTCTAGGTTGGAGGCCATTCCTATTAGGTTGGTTCAATGTTCAATAAAGCTTCCATGAATATTTTTCTGCACAAGAAGCTTGCTTGGAGTGGCAAAGATCTTGAACCCCCCGACTGTGGTCCTCTGAACGGTGTCCCGAGCGTCTGGGACTGAGCTTCTGACGCAATGCCAAGAAGCGTGCCCTCTGCATTCACGAGACCAGCTGAAATGGTGGTTCCTCCCAAATCCTGCAGTACTTTGTCTTGCACTTCCAGTTGCTTGTAAAGAAACCAATACTCTACTGAAAGGAAACCAAGTTTACCTGGCAAGGAACACCCTGAACTCACACAAGCTGTATTTTCATGTTATAAGCTGATGATATATGTTCTTGTTGTTTTCAACAGATCGCTTTGGCAGTCCACGCCCACGAAAAGGCGTTCTCCATCGTTGCCTTTCATCCATGGCATGCATATATGTGATCATGATTCATGATAGTGCTCACAAATAGTGCCTGAGCAAGGGCGCTTGCCCATGTCCCATCAGTGGCCAAACCTTTGCCGAGACAGCTTGCTCAGCTTGGACCCCTTTTGGATCGAGTGCTGGCTGAATCTTGATTGCTACTAGTAGCGATGCACTTGTGCTACTAGCATCTACTAGTAGCTTCTTGTTCCTAGTAGTAATGCCAGGAGCGCCCCGTTCGTAGCGTCCTTGTTCCGTTCGTAGCGATGTGGTCCTACTAGCTCTAGGGACGTCCGAAATTGGCTTCGGATCCATCCTTGAAGGATCAGACTCTTGCAACATTGCTGACTTGGCTGCACAGAATGCATGACATCTGAAACAATGGCAAGTAGCCTGGAGGCCATCGCTAGGTTAGAGGCCATTGCTATTCATAGCCGCAAGTAGCTTGGAGGCGTCCACAGGTCTAGGTGGGTCACGATGGACCCTATGGGTCAACATGACAGCCGGCGTCATTCACATTTTGCATCCATCTCGGTCGTGCAAGCACTAAAACCACTTGCAACCTCTCAGAAGGTCTGCCTGTGTTGAGACTGCTCAGAGGCAACAAGTCTCTAAGACTCTGATGAGCCAACTCTGGCTCGTGAAAAATGGCGCTTTCCCTCCTAACCCTTCGCTATGATAGCGCCCTTTTCCTTCGAAACAGTGGTCGAAGGGTCTGGGACAAAAAAGGGGGCACACCAAAGCTCCGGCAAAGTGTAATGTCCGGATCTGTACAACCGGTTCTCCTGAGCTGCACAGCACACGCTGATGCGATGTCTTTTCAGCGCAATCTTTTCTTTCAAACGCTTCAACATGCGGCTGGTCCGGTTGGTTGTTCTTTTCTTTTTTGCGAAGAAGACACTGGTAGCTCCTCCACTAGTAGCTCCTGGCATCGCTACTAGGAGCAAGAAGCTACTAGTAGCTCCTGGCCTTACTACTAAGTAACAAGAAGCTACTAGGAACAAGGGCATCGGTACTAGTTACAAAGAGCATTACTACTAGTAGCAGTCTTACTACTAGTAACAAGAAGCTACTATCTTTGGTTTTTCTTCCGAGTGAGTCCATCCGATCCAACAAAGCCGAACAAAGACTCCCCGCACTGCTCCAAGCTTCCTACATTAAGCACTCCGCCGGAGGCCGTGCCGCTCTCGCCTGGCCAAACGGGCAGAAGAAGAAATAGACCTTGAGGTGTCAGGAACGAACCACGTCCAAATCCAATAAACTCAAATCTCGTGAGAACCGCGCTTGCACAAGAACCCAAACAGGGCGTGAAAAAGGGCAACGCACAGCGCATGGCCTCTTGCGTGTTCCGCTACCCGGTCTTGGGCCCTCGGTCTTGTGATTTGATTTGCAAGCATGTGAAGGCAATCAACACTGGGTGATTGACAAACACAAAACATCCTAAAGCACAGCAAGATGTTTAAAAACAATGGTAACAATAATGAAGTTCTAAAGAAACATGAGCCGTACATTTACTTCTGTTTCTCTTGTTGAATGTGAAGTCCAAAACTGTCCAAGGGCATGACGAGCACACTGGCCTCTAAATCCTTCTCTTCGCCTGAGCAGGAAGAAACAGCTTCCGAAATCTCATCCCCTGATGAGACGGAAAAAACCGGTCAAAGCTAAGCATGACATGCGATGTTCCTCGCCTGAATTTCCAGGAGATCGCCTAAGCTCTCAAAGTGCCATACAACTCATACAAACACCCTGAATTCATTGTCCAGTTCTGTAAAAAATGCTCATCAAACCTTCCTTTCTTAGTGCCATACAGCAAAGGAAGAGACTCACTGCGACAGCACAGAGCCCAAGCCTCCACTTTTGTGATCCAGCAACTGTTGCTGTTCAAACAGCACAAATCTCAAAATGTTATTGTCATTGTACTAGCAAGTGTCCCTAGTAGTAACAAGTACATCGCTACTAGTAACACGGGCATCTCTACTAGCAACAAGAAGCTACTAGTAGCTGGGGTTGGAGGTCATCGCTGCCTTGGTCACAGCACGGCCCAAACGAGCAGTACCAGCGTCATCCCGGCTCAGAGCCTTCCGGAGTGCCTGACTCAACTCGTTGGTCGTTTGGACTCGACGTGTCACTGCGAATCGCTGCGCTGCCTTAGACAACTCCAGCTGACATGAGTGAGTGAAGCCAGCAAAAGCCATTGCCTCAAAGGGATGACATGCAATGGCAAACATGACATGCAAAAAAAAGACCATTCTCATTGGTTTCTCATTCAAGAAGCTATTAGAAACAAGTGCCACGCTAGTAGAAACAAGTGCCACGCTATTAGAAACAAGAAGCTATTAGAAACAGGTGTCCCAATTCAGGATCCCATCTGCAAGTGATCGTTTGCCTTGCCTGCTGGGACTGGGTGAGGCGCTGCTCCTGGAGTCAGTCTTCCATGTGACTAGTAGCGTGGCACCTGTTACTAGTAGCTTCTTGTTACTACTAGTAAGGCACCTGTTACTAGTAGCGTGGCACTTGCTTGCAACCGCGTTGGAAGTGTCTGAATCACGCAAAGGAAGGTTGGCACGGGACGGGGCGCAAGAACTCTGCTTTCTGTGGCGATAGCTGCTAAGGTCTTTCGTAGTGAATGTATGTGCACAATGCCTATTTTTCAGTTGCGATTGGCCATGTGCGCTTCTTAGATCACCAGCCACTTTGCTGCTCCTCATTGGCCCAGGGTGATATCTGTTATCTTCCTTTAAAAAAATGCGAAAAGCTCCACCTGCAGGTGTGCCAGATATATTTTTAGAAGTTTTAAAGGGTGGAAGCATGTGTGGGCCACATCTAAATACAAATCTACGAACATGTGTACATTAACCCTGTATGACAATAAAGCTAGGGGCTAGGAATTTAGTTATATTGTAGCTTTCCAACCACGCACGCAAGTACGTTCTTAAAACCTGACAGTCCATCCCCCTTGTTCCACTCCCACTTGTTCCCACTGTGACCCGAGTTGATTGCGGAAAACACCGAGTTTCATGTGACCGACATGTCGGGGTGAGCACTCCATGTCACATGCCGATTGCATTGCATGCAAATATTTGGTTGGAGGCCATCGCAAGTAGGTTAAATTAAGGCCATCGCTATTAGCTTGGAGGCCATCCCTACAAGGTCATTGAAAACGGCCGTATGCTACTCAAACACCTCAGGGGTGACATTTGTGTGATGTCCTCCGCAGGCCAAGCACCAGAGAGGCGTTCCACACCTGGGCAGGGTTTCTTTATGCACGTGCTGGCAATACCAAGAAGTAGTGCAGTCCAATACCAAGATGATATACCAAGCACAGAAAGTAGAAAATGAATTTTAAAAAAGAGTTATGGTCTAAAGACGGCAAAAGGGAAAAGAAGACAAAAATGAGAATAACCTATTCTAAAGCATCTGTGTTTCTTGTGCAAAGAAGTAATTCAGTTAAGTTCAATACCAAGTAACCATCGCACACATCCCGCACACTTCGTGGACTACTCAGTCTCTAACATCTTCCTCTCCCACACTTGCATCTTTACGCGCCCTCTCTATGCCACCGTTCCTAACTCTAAAGACCATGTGAAGGCATATTGTCCGCACCAACCACAAGCTAAGCTAACGGTAGACCAGACATCTTAAGACTCAGTGTGGAAAAACAATTTGAACTTGAGTTTGTTGGGAGCATTCACACAAGGACGCTACTAGGGGCCCCTGGCATCGCTACGAACGGAGCAAGGACGCTATCACAGAATACGCAATTCGAAAATAACCTCGGGGCCCAGTCCGTTTGGTGCCCATTTTTTTTCCTCTTTTTGAGCACTTGTTCCTAATAGCAAACATTGTTACTACTAGTAAGGCACCTGTTACTACTAGCGTGGCACTTGTTTCTACTAGCTTCAGTCATACCAGCCTACCGGCTTTCCAAAAAGAACAGTACCTAGCGGCGACATTCGCCGCCTTGGCCGGGAGATTCAGCCATGGGCTCCAACCTAATAGCTTCTTGTTGGTAGCATAGCTTCTTGTTCCTAGTAGCGATGCCCTCCTCCCTGCCCTGCCCTGCCCTGCCTGCTTGCAGCAAAACCCGCACGGACTGGGCCCTGCGACAGAAGCAGAACAAACACAACACGGAGCTCACCGCGGCACAAAGACCCGAGCTCACCGCGGCCGCAAGTCGAGGTTCCCCAGGACAGAGGTGAGTTCCACCTGCACATCAAGCGGCTCGACCGGGTTATGGCCCATAATGGATGATTTCATCAGATTTGGATGGATTGGGACAGAGTTTCAACAAGTTCAGGCTGGAAAAGAAAAGGGTGCTATCTGGTGCCTCGTCTTCTCCCTCACTGCTTTAGGTCGATCTGTGGCCAGTTCGTGGCCAGCTGTGGAGCTTTCTCGTCACTGGTGGAAATTCTCTCTGATTCGTCTGTGGCCAAAGTCGTCGAAAACGCTCAACTCCCCAGAGGTCGCAGCTCAAAACCAATAGACCCCTATGTCGAAGGCATTTGAAGGCATCATCAACATATTTGCCTTGTAGGTTGGAGGCCATCGCTAGTAGGTTGTTGTTGCGGCTGTTGCTGTTGCTGTTCTGGTTGTTCGTGTGGGTATTGTAGTGCGGCCGTCTGTTTCTCATGAATTTTATCAGTTTGCCTTCTGCTCCAATCTTTGATGCTCACCAAATGCTCCCATGTGTCCTGCCTGCAGGGTTTGCGCAAAGTTTTCCAACCGGCTCTGAGACAGTGGACTTCGCTTTGCCACCACCTGAACGAACAACTCGCAAAGCTTGCATCAAGAACCCCGGAAAACATGGAGTTTGGGTTGACTCAGCTGTCTTACCTAAGAGCACTTTCATGTGTTCCTGAAGCCGTTTGGAGAGAAAACCCAGCTTGGCTCCTCTTGGTGCATCGCCGCCAAGCCCACTGTGATGTGTGATGGAGTTGCTGGCCTTATGCACGTTGTATTTGTTTGAGGCCAAGCGTATGTGAAAAACATGATGAAAGCATGATATAGAGGATTCAAATTGGTTTCAAACGTATACTCTTTCAAAGTTTCTTGCACAAAAACAAACTCTTTGATGCTGGAAATCGTCGCGATTGAATTCAACATACAAACAAATGGTGAATAAAAAAAATTGGCTCGTAGGTTGGAGGCCATCGCTATTGGGTAGGAGGCCATCGGTTTTAGGTTGTATTAGGTAGGAGGCCATCGCTATTCGGTAGGAGGCCATCGCTATTCGGTTGGAGGCCATCGCCTTTAGGTTTATTGTTGTTTTTTGAAAAGAGATACATTTAATAATTTAAAGAATCAAAAGTAAGTTGTCGATATACCTGACCAAGGCGCGGATCCCGACATCCATGGACATCGATATGAAGGGTTGGACGAATGCTGCCTTCCTGACCCGTTGGAAGATGCTTCCAAGAAATGAGGAAATGTCTTAATAGCTTCTTGTTACTAGTAGCGTCCTTGCTCCTAGTAGTACGGCAGGGGCCCCTAGTAGCGTCCTTGCTCCTAGTAGTGATGCCAGGAGCGCCGTTCGTAGCTTCCTAAGGAATCAATTCCTGAAATGTCTTAAGATGGAAGTTTTGCTCAGGAGCGTCTTCTTTGTCTGCGAAACGACTGCCCCAGGTCGCATCTCCTTCGTGTATCGCCACTGGTCTGCAAGCCTGATAACGCTGAGTTCGTGAAAGGAGACGTCTGAGATGACTGACCAAACTGATTAAACCCAGCTTGCCATGCTTCTATTGTCGATCACATAATCCAGCACCACCCACTGTGTTTCCCAAAAGGTATGGGTATGACAGTATGGCTGTTCTTTGGGTAACATGGCTTTCAAAAAGCAAACATCAATTTGCTACAGGTGTGCACTCACTTCTTAAATTGAAAACCGACAAACCAAACCTGGCAATCACCGGAGGTGAGCCGGGTGACCGAGTCTCCACATTCCCTTCTTTGAACCACCGCTGGAGGGGAGCGTGGTGACTGGTGACTAGTAGATTTGACTACAATCGCCACTAGGTTGGAGACCATCGCAAATAGGTTGGAGGCCATGATGACTATCGGGTTGGAGGCCATCGCTAGAGGACTAGATTTGACTAGACTTGCTTGCAGTCTGCCTGGCCATCTGCCGAAACCATGGATTTTGGGCGACCTCTTCGATGCGCAAGTAATTCCTGAGACGTGTTTAAGCGTTTCTTTCAAGTGGTGCGGGGACAAAGCACAAAACAGGTGTCTGGCAGAAATGAACAAGAGCAACACTGAACACTTACAAGAGAAGTGAAAGTCTGGGAAACTTCTGTAGTACTAGCGGTAACTGCATTACTGTACTGCAAATACATTTCAGTCTCAAAGCTCTGAGCCAGAAACGGATCTCGGTTTGGGCTCAAAAAGCTACTGAGATCTCCAGCCTACAAACAGGTCACAGCTGAGTCGAGCACTACAACAATATATGTTAAAAAGAGCAAAAAACATGAACAGTTGACATAAACATGAAAAATCATGAACATGGGAATTCCACGACATCATCGGTGACGAAGCGTGACATCACCGGCGAAAGAATGCAAAACGAAAACAACGAAAACCATGCAAAACAACAACAACAACAACAACAACAACAACAACAACATGCACAGCATTGTCACAGCATCATCCATTTTCTCTTCCTCCTCCATACTCACTGCATCATCTACACCGATCCTCACCTGTCCTACTGGCTTCCCGATCCTCACCTATCCTTTCCTTGTCCTACTACGCTTCCTCGCTAGACTTCGCTTCTTGCGGTTTCCTCGAAGGAGCCTGGCATATCTCGGAGCGTCATACATACACCTGCCTGTGAACCCTTTGCTCCGGAAGAAGGGGGAAGAATGCGCCAAAGGAGGGGGAGGGGGTAGAGATGGGTAGAGCTACTACCTACTAAGGAGCTAGAAAAGGCTTGGACGCAAAGGGCTCAGGCTTAATGATTTGGTTCCTAGAACTTTGTCCCCTTTAAGGGTTGTTCTTGAAACTTAACTACTAGCGATGGCCTCCAACCTTTAAGGGTTGTTTTTGTCCCCCTTTAGAGAAGTGTTGGAGTTTCCAGTCGCTTGCAGATCAAGGTTGATTCGACTTGTCGAACGTTTCAAGTGACAACTAGGCCCTCGCCATGAATCCTTCCTTTCGCCTGGCCCTCAAGTTGAAGGATCATTCCTTCGGTTGGCACGCGCTCGTTCGCCACATGGAGCCATGTTGCGCGCATTTTTGCTCACTTTGAGCCTCTAACCTACCGGTTACCGTTTCTTTGGGGGCATGCGCTCCTTTCCACCTGGCTGTGGGCCAGTGAAATAAGGTCACTAAAGCAGCATAATACAATCACAAGGGAACTCAAGTCTTCAATCTCAAAATAGGCTCAGAACTCTTCGAAACTCTCACGAGCAGAAACGTCATGGAAAATCGCTACCAAAGCCTGAAGAGTGCTACAAGCCGCTTCACCGGTTCACCAACAAAAAGGTCCAATGACAAATGCAGAGAATGAAAATGAAAAAAAAAACTCAAAGCCTCCCCAGATTGAGCTCGTCCAAGACACCAATAAAGCTCTGACCTACACCAGCGAGCTGCGGACTCGAGCTGACCAATCCGAAAGTGACGGCCTCTTCTGCTCAGCACGACTCCAGCACAGGCATGCCCCGCCTCAAAATACACAATCGGATCAGAATGGTGAATAGTAGCGACTTAGTTTTGTAGCGACTTCAGCATCCCATCGACTTAGTTTTGTTGATAGATATGGATCATGGGAGAATGATCAAGCCCAAGGGCCAGGCGCAGCTGCCGAGCAAGGCGTTGTGCAATCAGCGTCGTGTATTCCTGCCACAACCGCGTTGAAAAGGCCTGTGTGAAAGCACCGCTTGCAACTGCAGAACTCTTTAGCATCTCCAGCAAAGAAGATGTTTATTTGTTCGGGCCTTCTTAAGGACGATCCTTCCTCCTAACTTAAAGGTAGACATGTTTGCCTTCGCATCAAAACTTCGGCCGGAATAAATTCCCAACGAATTCGACCAACATAGAAAAAGAACGGGGTTTAAAAAAAGGAGATAAGAGCCGCCTTCAAAAAGGCCCCACTTCAAGAAGCCCTGTGAAAGGGGCCCTTAGCTTGTTTTTGTTAATCTCTCTTTTATCGAATCTCCTCCATCATGTGGGGTGGCTGTCCATCTCTTCTCAAATAAATATTGTGTGGCGCCTCAAGGAAACTCAACTTCAAGCTGATGCTGCTGATGCTAAACCCAATTCGTCAGAAATCATCAGAGGCTTGGAAAGAAAGGAAAGAATGTCTAAAGGTCTAAAGGAAAAGAAACAAAGAAGACTAGTAGCACGGACGCTACTAGGGGCTCCTGGCA